TTTTTTTTTAAACCAAACATTCTGCTAATATAAATTAGAAAAGATGTATATATTATTTTGACTGTGTGTCTTTATCATCAGAGATGGAATATACTAATCTTTAATTGGTAAACGACAACTTTGACAATTTTTTTATTGTGATTTAAAAAATAGGAGAGATGCCAGAATTTTTTAAATTCTAGATTAGTGAGGAAGTGTAAAATTGAGGATTAGTTATAGATGTGATTGTGTGAACCTGAAAGGGATTGAGACCAGTATGTTGTTGAATTTCTTGTAACCAGAGCACGCATTGCAGAAATTGTTATTTAACAGTTATTCAAACGACTCTTAGTTGATTAGTCAATTAGCTCGTTTCCTGTAGTCCCGACAAGCATGAATTATTGTTCTGTCAAGTGTGTATGGTGTAGCATGGGTGTGAGTACGCTAACCACTCCTTCCTTTACACTCTGTGCTGCCTGAAATTCGTAGTGCTTTTCCCGTTCTGTGGTTTGTTTCACTTTTATTTTAAATGCTTTTAGTAAATTTTAGCATCAAGATGAGATTACTTATGAGCTAGTGGACACAGTAAGGAAGAGTTGCTCAGGTCAGGTTAATCCAGCATCCTGGAAGGCCTGGACTAGAGAAATCCTAAGAAAGTGGAAGAGGAAATAGAGAAAAAGCGAATCCTAGCTAACAGTTAAACATAGACAGAAGTCTCACCTGAGCAACGCTGATGAAAGTCCTTCCCTTGACTTGCCTCAAACATTTCAGATGGAGGGTTGCTAGCGAATGGCCTGTTTTGGTTTTCTTTCTCCCCATTTGAAGAAATGGCAGCTTAATGTATCTATCAGAAATGTAGAACTTCCCTGAAGCCTGACTTCCATGCATTGTAAATAAGAAACGAAGCTTCTGAAATTCTTTAGGTGGAAGGACCACTGGACTGGGAATTAGGAGGTCAATCATCTGTGTGCCATTTCCCTCAGTAATGACATAACCTTGGATGTACCTTTAGATGTGCGAGAACCCTCTTTCAGATCTGAAAAACAAACAGTGGAAAGAGGTTTCCCAGGCCATTTTGCTGTCTACATTTCTGTGACAGCCTGTCTGTAGGCTGCATTTAGTGCGTGGGATCAGGCGGAGCCACCTCATCTCCTGGGCATCTCCATCTCCATCCCGGGCACCCGTCATACCCACTGTGTGAGCATGCTGCCCCCTGCCTTCCCCACCCCATCTCCACCCTCATCACCCTCCTTTTGTAGCCTCTAGTGTCTTGCACACAGTAGTTGCTCAATATATTTTTATCAAATGAATGGATTTTGTGTATTCTTTGGAAGATGCTCTTGCTCTTTCTTTCATCCTGGTGAATTTCTGAGATCACCAGCATTGCCTATTAACTGGCTACCTTAGCAGTAGGTATTTTGATCATGCTAACTTTGCAGGCCTCTTTTCTGTGGCTGATACTTTAAATTTCTGTTCATGAAAAATATATCCGAGTAACATTTTTTATTGTTGTTAATACTTTTTTACAGGGGTCTTGCCCCTCAGAATAAACCAGAATTGCAGAAGGTGATGGAAAAGAGAAAACGAGACCAAGTAATAAAGCAGAAGGAAGAAGAAGCCCAGAAGAAGAAATCTGACTTGGAAATAGAACTATTAAAACGGCAGCAGAAGTTGGAGCAGGTAAGGGGGATTGGGTGAAAGCTGTCTTTTTGTCCTGAGAAATAAAGATGTTGGAGCAAGCCGAATTATCCAGACATGTGAGATGTAAATGTTTATACCACGAAAGAAAATATGAGACAAAATACCAGCAAATGGGGTAAAAAACATTCAAGGCAGGGACAGGAATTCTACTGAGGACCTAAAAAAGATGGAGGCAAAAACAGAATGGGGAAATATCACTGAATCACACAGCATTGGGGTAATTTAATGAAATTGTACTTCACTAAGACACCAGAGCAACTGTGTGTTCATCTCAGGATTTTGTTTTCTTAGCCTTGACTTTTCAGTACTTCTCATCTCTTGGTATCATCTGTAATAACAACCAATTGGCTGCTGCTTCTATGCAGGATTTCCCCCTGGATATATGTATATACATTTTTTTAAAATGGGGAACCAGGAGAGAATTTATTCCATTGAGAAATGAGGTTGTTAGGAACTTTGAAAAGAGAAGCAAGTGTTTTTAAAAGCCTCTCCGTTTGTAAATAATTTTCCTGCTTTTGAATTTTATTTAGCTTGAACTCGAGAAGCAGAAATTGCAAGAAGAGCAAGAAAATGCCCCAGAATTTGTGAAGGTGAAAGGCAATCTCAGGAGAACAGGCCAAGAAGTTGCCCAAGCCCAGGAATCCTAGGCTGAGTCTGCAGAGACCTTGTGCGTCCCCACCTGTCAGACACAGAGCTGTGTCTGCAGGTGCTTCCTCTGTGCTAATCTCAGGGCAAAAGCCCCTGGAGAGAATTCCAGCTAGCAGAGAATTTTGACTTTAAAAAGGTTTTGGCTTGATTTTGCCTACAGTCTGGGTGGATAAATTGCCTATGACGCTTGCAGTTCCTATGCGCCAAATAAGGACATTGACCAGCACATAAGTTGGAATAATGGACTTGTGTTCAAAAATAAAAACAAAAAACAAACAAAAAACAAAAAAAAAACCATTGACCAGCACATAAGTTGGAATAATGGACTTGTGTTCAAAAATAAAAACAAAAAACAAAAAACAAAAAAAAAAAAAGAAAGGAAAAGGACACTGGAGTAAATTCTTGAGAGTTGCACTACTTGGTTTTTCTATCAATCCAAGTTTAGTGAGGCACAGACAGAGCCTTTTTGTTTTAGAAGCTAAAGAAAATGTGCTTAATTCTTTTTGTTATCTGTTAGATAATTTAGATCACATAGAAATGTGTTTAATCTGTTACATCAAATATTTGTAAGTTTTACTTTGAAAATCCAAAATTTTCTTGTTTAATTTATACTTTCACCCATGTTAGAATTAACACCAGAGAATGTTAATGTTGAGCATAGCCATTACCTTTGTAGGCACTAAAATTCAGAAGTAGGGTAAGGAGGTTCAGAAATATGTAAACATCCATCTTTATCTTATTTTAATTCCTTTTGGTTTTCTTTGTAATAGTATGCTACATGGTGACATTCCAGTTTCAAGAAGGTACATCATGTAAGTTTATTTGTTGCTTTGATAACTAGTAGGATTTTTGTTCAGTTTTGTTTTTAAATTTCTTGCTGAGCTAGTCCTTTTATATGAAATAATCTCTTGATTTTTTTTTTTTTTTTTTTGGAGAATGGAACTATTCCATATAACCCAGCTTCAGTGTCAAAACTAGAGGGTCCAAAATCCTTTAAATTCTTCAGAGAGTCGTGTGGAGAAAGTTCCCATTAGGAGCTGGGCGATGAGGACTTCTTTAGGTATTTTAATGTGAAACAAGTGTAGATTGGTCTGAAGGAGGCTTCCTTGGAAGATTGGTAGCATTTGTACATTTGAATATCATTAGAATCCAAGCTTTGAAAATTTGTGATTAATGATCACATATTTCTTTACCTTATTTTTGTGTGTGTGAAGAAAGACTGTATCACCACTGTTTCTGATGATGCTGTTGATGACTACTATATTGCATCTCTCAGGAAAAGCTGAAGTGAAGGGAGAAGCTGCTCTGTTTCTTCATTCTAGCTAGCTTGTTATTCAAGAGAAATTTGAATTACGAATAACAGCACAACTCTCATGCAGAGTTAATTTTATACTGATGATATGGGCATGGGTACCTTCTACTTGGGGTGGCATGGAAGAATTTTTTCGGATTTAGTATGTTCTCCATAGAGACCATTCAGCTAGTAATTTCTACACTGAAGACTCTTCTTATACTTCCTTATAAGACTCATAGAAAGCTGGATTCAGAGGTTTTGAATCCTTACTTAGAACAGTAGAAATTAGCTTTCTAGAGAATACTTTAGTTTTAGTAGTTGACAATTAGGCCCACATTCAATCCTAATGTGAACAAGATTAAAAGTAAATGCAATGATAATGTACTGCTAGCTAGAGAAACATGTTAGTTGATTACAACTAAAGTGGGTTATTTATCTCATCAGCAAGTATTATTGGAATAAAATATGAGATGCTTAAGATAAAATGTTGCTTGGTAATAGTTCGCTTTTGAAGAATGGAATGGTGACTAATTTTTTTCCATCATTCTTACTATTGAGAAAGGAAAGTGTGATAACTGATAATCCTGAAAGTACACTTCTGATTGCACATTGACTAGTTCATTCTTTGTGTATGTGGACTGATGATGTTATTTGTAAAATGAAGATTCAGGACTGGCTCATATTTTCTCATCTAACTGGATGTGAGATCTTTAGATCTGTATCCTTGGAGCAGTTCTGCCACTTGAAAAATTCTCAAGGTCCCAGATAGGCTTCTTTAAGGACGAATTCTGTTTCTAGAACTTACCTAGAATTCATTCTTCACTGGGAAAAAGTTAATTAGAGAAGCATTTCTCTCCTAATCTCATTCAAGTATACAGAATTATTTGTAGTCAGTAGTACAAGGTCTGGCCAAAAGAAGACTTGTAAATAGCATAAAGTGATGTCTTATGCTAAACAGTACAATGTAAGGCAGAGAAGCTCTGTGAAATTGTCAGATCAGCTGGGCTCACAAGCCTGAGCTTTAAAAAGTGGCCAGTCTCCCCTCACACTTTAATACTGTACAGTCCAAACTCCTAGGACTCTTGAACATCTAAAGTTTTGTGCTTTGAGCCAGTTTTTGACAAATATGGCTCCATTTTTCCACTCTGTGGTTTTCTTAAAATAGTTCAGTGTTTTATAGTCTCATAGTATTAAAGTAGTGTTGCTTTCTGAGCTATAGCAGTTGACTTTATTCTTCTACTCTGAAAAATCTTGACTTATTTGAGTGTATATAATATATATAAAGGGAGCCTTAATGGATTTGTTTTCATAATTTAATATTTTTTGTATTTTCTCTTGTATAATTGTTTTTAATGGAAAGTATTACAGAATTGAGGGTGGAATTCTTAGAACCAAAGTTATTATTAATAAAAATCACCACATGCTTGGACCATGTAGCTATGTTTGTCTGATCTATTTAAGTTGGATGTCTGGAACTGAAGGGGGTCCATTCTGTGCAAGGATTGGAAGGTGGTTCCAGCGTCTCCCTTTGGTGACTGTACTTTTTGACAGCCTTTCCCCAAATCAGTTATGTCATACTGCCTTGTGTCACTTAAGGCTGACAATTCATTATGTCAAACAAATTCATGCTAAGCTATTATTGGCACTGTAAACTACTTTGCATAAAACACATGGCACTGTAGCAACAGCTCAGTCCTTTAGATCAAAGTATTCTGAATTTTAGGTACTTTGGTAGGACAGCGGGAGATACATTTTGGGGAGAACCATTTTTTAATGCTTGTGAGCTAGTACATACAGCATATCTGAAGTGTGATTGTGAAATTTTGCTTATTTAGCTAAATTAATGTTATAAAAGAAGTTACTTTGGGAAGCTGTGCACATGATTGCCTTATACTACTGATTAAAATAGTTTGGAAGTTCAAGTCTGTTCACTTTATAATTATGCTTTTATTTTCCAACTGCAAATTATTACTCAGCTGGATCACCCAGCTTCTAGTGTCTTTGGACGCTTTTAAAAAATTATATATGTTTAGGAGAGTAAACATTAGCTATCTCTAAGGTTATCATGAACTCTGAAGCCAGCGCCAAAAGACGGATTCCAGAAATAATTTGAGCAGAAGTTGCATTCCTGTAATAACAGGCAGTTCCCCAAGGTGACAGTTTTGAGGTGTCAGTCCCTTTAATTGGACCACTGTGTGTGTGTGTGTGTGTGTGTGTGTGTGTTTTACAGTAGTGGTAATAAATTTGGAAGAAGACAGGGCAATTAAAGTGGCAATATTTAAAATGTTATATAGCACAGCTAAAAGAAACATGAAAATAACACTACTAGGCTTACATGTAGTAGTATAATAAGAAATGAAGTATTTTGTTTCCAAGGTCTTAAATAAAATCTTTATGACCTAGCCTCACAATCACAATTTCTACTTCTTTTTTTCTCATGAGAAAATGTAATCTAGTTATCAACTAGGGATGTTTTAAATATCTTTCCGTTTGCTCCTAGATTTTCTAGCAAGATGGTGATAACCAGAGTCTGGCAAAAAGAGCACTTGGTTATTTATTGAAAGTATGTTCACTGCTACTGGGGTGTTGCTGCATCCAGGCCCCCTCAAAGTACAGATGCTGCTCAGCTTACCATGGGGTTATTTCTCAACAAATCCATCAAAAATTGAAAATATCTTAAGTCAAAAATGTACCCAATAAACCCATCGTAAAGGTAAAAAATCGTAAGTCAAACCATTGTGAGTTGCAGACTGTCTGTATGAATGTGTATAAGTGTGAGTATGTATTCACAAATTTGTATTGATAATTATGTTTATATCTTTAATTATTGAATATCATGAGCTCACATCAGTACCTCCAGTTCCGACCCAACGCCACATTCTACCTTTCCCCCTTCCCATATTTGTAGCTCTGGAAAACCTGGCTGCACTGTCCTTCACACACTTATTTTTTCAATCCCCCAACCTTCCTCAGCCACCTTCCTCACTCAGGCACTGCCTAGTGGCTTTTTGACTGAATTGGGAAAGAAAAAAGGAAACACCAATTTTTCTTGAGCAATTTCAACATTTATCGTGAATTTAAATTGCCTCCAACAACCTAAACTGCAACTACAGATTTATAGTATGCCTGATTGTTTTGAACCTTTCAAACTCCTTAAACAGTAAATGAACCATACTTGAATACAATGATTAACACATTTTTTTTTTTTTGTCTTTTTTCCGTGTCCGGCAACGGATTGCAACCCTCAGTGTTGCCCCCGTACCGGACCGGGGACCGGCGACGTGATCGCAAGCCTCGGCGTTGCTCCCGCGCCTCGCTCAGCCAGTGAGCAGGAGCTGGTCTGTACGTGGGATCCGAACCCTCGGACGGGAGCGCTGCCGTGCTTCCCAAGCAGCGCACTATCCAGTGCACCACCGGGCCGGCCCTGATTAACACATTTTAAAAATAACTTACATAAGCCTATTTTAAAAATCAAGCTTTATGTTTATTCTACACTTCAAAAAATGCTTTTCTACTACTATGGCCATATTTATTTTCATTTCCTCTTAGGGATTTAGTTATACACTTCTTCCTGGGCTTGTAGTAATCTTGCCAAGCCTGAAAGAAAAGGAATACCCCACATACTAACTGAAGGAGTGAGATCTGGTTGTTATTCTTACCTAGGACAAGGGGCCTGGCTGTGCAGTCCGAGCTGATTCAATATGAACCACAATCCTTGGACTAAGTTCAGTTTTATAATTAATTCCTGCTTTGTCATGGGATTTTGTTTTGATACCTTGCTATTTATTTCACTTTTATTTTTCAAAACTTGGTGCTCTTCCCAGAAGTGATGCATACCTTCATTTGGCATGGCCAGCGTCACCTACTTATTGTCCTGCCTTTATGATCTTTTGTCTTGTCCATTAGCAGTATTGAAAACTTATGTATGCTTTATCAATATCTCATATAATCAGTAAGATAATTTTGAGAGTTTGTCTACT